GAAGGCGCACTCATGGTCGGAAGCCTTCAGAGGTCGTCGCCGTTCTTCTGACGTCTTTAGCAAAATCTCCTCCGGAGGTGTCTGCGCCGGAAGCGTAGCTTCCTTAAACGCTGGAAGCGCGTGAGTAGAGACACCTTAGAAAATGAGCTTTTGCCGAAGGCGCCGAAGACATTTGGCGCAGGTACATCCGACTTCGCGATTCTTCGTGACCTCGTGACGATCTCCTCAATCCACTCTATTTAACGTACCCTTTTCTAACTACAAACACTGCTTCGGTACTAGTTTTCTAAAATTGTTTAAATTCTGCAAAAAAAACAAAAAGTGTGTTACCACACCGCTCTCACGCGCGGCTTCACGCTCCGCCGACGCCGATTTAACTCACACGCTCGAATTGGCGAATTTGAACTCCGCGAGCGTACTACGCCGCGGACATGGGTGCGCAGCGCCGAAGGCGTCTTTTCCGCCTTGCGCGGTACACTCGTTCGTACCGCTCCTCGGCCAATCCTCCTCCGCCTAAGGCGATCGTCAGCGCATCGGACAAAAGTTAAACTCCCGCCTGTGCGTAGGCGGAATCCCCGGCGGAATCTCCGCCGGCGCGGAACTTCACCCGCATGTGCGTAGGCGCTCGCCTACGCGTAGGCGAATTCTGTCCGAGCTGCTGCGCTGGCGCGGAAGGCGTTGACCGCGGTCAACAGACTCCGTCCAGACTGTCCGTTTCTTGTCTCTCCGTCGGCGCTCTCGCCGCCGCAACTCCGTCCGACCAAGAGCGCATCCATCCGTCCCGTCCGTACAGTCCGTACGGTCCGTACGGATTTTACTACTCCAGCGGTTCCTCGCCCGTCCGTGCTGTTGCGCTGGCGCGGAAGGCGCCGTACAATTTCTACCCCCGAAGGCGCATTTCTAGGGCCGAAGGCGGATTTCCCGCCGACGCCGAAGCGCCTGTGCGCAGGCGGCCTTCGCTCGTCCCTCTGGGCAGAGGTTTCCTTGCCTGTGCGTAGGCGACATTCGCGCCTACGTCAAAACCCTATTTCGCCTACGCGTAGGCGAACTGCTTTTGTCCGCGCATAGGACAAAACTTTCTTCGCCTGTGCGCAGGCGGAAAGCTGAGTATCTTGCGACCTTCATAACTCCCGGAGTCCTCATCCGTTTGTGGCGTTCTTGGGCTCGTTGGAATCAGCGCGTTGAGCTTTTTTCAACAAGACCCTAACCAAGTCAAGGCGTTTGGGGATTGACCCAATTCTGAAGGATTCCTCTAGCGCCGAGACGCAGCACTAAAGGCGGATTTTGCGCCTTGCGCCGAAGGGATCATACCTTCAGAGCTCGCAGGGAGGGTGGTGTCCGTCCCTGAAGTTGCACCCTACTCCTAGATTCTACGAGTTCCCGTGAGAATCTCTGCGATCTTCCGAATTCACTCTGTTTTGATGCACCGAAGGCTATTTACACTGCTGCCGCGGTACAGTTTTCCAAAAATGTTTTAATTTCCTCAAAAATACCAAAAGTGGGGTACCACAGTGACGAGTTAGATACTTGAACAGTTTCCCCCTTACACCTTCGAGTGATTGTTTCTGATTGTACTCCTTCGGAATTTTTCCCTTGAATGTCAAAGTGAAGTTTTGCTACTTCGTGTAAGCCTTGGTTGTAAATTCAGGTCACGCTGCAGCAGGTGCCTTCAAGGTAACCCCTGTAGTATTTCTGGGAATGCCAAGTGCCTGAGAATTCAAACTTTTCAATAGACTGTTATGGTGTGCTACGCGATCGTTTCTCAGTTGAGTTCCTCCGTGCGGACCTGTGTTCTTTGCGCGTTTTGTGAGTTGAGAGTATTGTTCACCGCGTGTGAGTGACTTCGATCCAAAGTAGGAAGTCCAACCCGGGTTTCCCACGCTAGCAGAAGGCTAGTGGAAGGGTTGTAAAAGCCGGAGTTGGGAGTCACTACCCGCAGATTCGCTGAGTGTACTCGCGAGAGACTTCCCCCCCCCCCCCCCCCCGTGAAATCTTAAGTAGAGGTCCTAACCGATCTCTGGGTTGTGTTTCTGTAGTTTCAGGTGTGTGTGTGTGTGTGTGTTGTACGCTGCACTGTGCGACCTCCGAGTGAACACTTGCAGTATTTCTCGGAGTGACAGTCGCCTGAGAATTCAAACTCCTCAATGGTCTGTTAAATGTGACACTTTGTACCCTGTGTGTTCCTCTGTCCTTGTGGGTTCGACCTTTCTACCAATATATTGCAGTTTTAGCCTTTAGTGGGTTATTACATTTGCAACTCTCTTTTAATTTAAAATTCAACCATACTTCCAAGCTTTATGGTAACCTCCAAAGCCATTTTGGGAGCCCATTGACGTGAAAGCCTCACGAACGGTTTTGAAGGAGACCCGATTAACCCCTTCTGTTAATAACATGTCTCATGTTTTTATTAATGATTATGCCGGCGATTATATGGGGTTTTGATAATTCGTTTGTTCATATTCATAAAGGATTCAGTATTTGGCATTCCCTAGATTAATTGATATTTCATTTGCTTTTTCCAACGTCATTGTTACTTGTTATGAGCTCTTCGTTAGAAGAGTTGGGTTGCTGACGTCTTTACGTTGAGACACCCACCCCCACATCCCTAACGCTTTCAGGAGATATTCGAGAACATCCGTTTAACTAGCTTAATAAGCATCAAGCTTACAGCCTGGTGCCCTATATTTGCCCGAACCAGACTCTTCTGTAGTTTCTTAGACTGGGTATTTAACCTGTAAGCTCGCTGACCCCTAACTTCAGGTACAGGAGTCATTCAAAATTATATTAGACCAGATTGTTACAGAGACCTTAGTCTTGTAGATGAAGATTTGTTAAGTATTTCCGCTTGAATAAATAATAATTAGAATATTTATTAAAGCTATTTTCACATGATTTGGTTTCACTGCAGTTACCAAACTGGGCATGCTGTGGTTACTCCACTATAACTAGCCACCATTAAATAAAAAAACCCTGTGAAGTTTGACCATACACGTTCACGCCCAATATATATATATATATATATATATATAGAATTGAAAATATTTAACATATGAGACATTGGAGATGAAATTATTGCATTGGAAAAAATAATGTTTTTTAGAAGGTGGATTTAGAAAAAAAAATTCTATTATATTCTTATACAATTATAATGATGAAAAAAAATCCGAAAGTTGAAACAGTTTTATTTATTATTAAATTAAATTGTGTTCAATTAAAATATAAAGTCGAATAAAAAAATTGCTATGTTTTTTGTATAAAATGACGTCACCAAAAATACCATTCTTTTAAAATTTACATAGAAAATTTTCTTGAAAAGAAATATAAGACCACTAGTCATATAGTTTTGAAAATATTTTTATAAAAATTTTACAAGAATCAAAATCGTTGCTTAAAATCAAATCAAAATTAATATATCATACAATAGTAGATTTTGATTTTAAAATGATGACGTATGATCTATGTAATGTTCAAACTATTTTTTGAAATATCATCAATATTCTTTTGAATCTTTATTCAAAAATTTATTATTGATTTGTATTAATCATTTGTGTGTGTCTAGGAAACTAAATAATTTACTTTTGATCAAAATAATTCAGCGTTTGACCAAAGCTTTAGTGATTCCAAAAAAAATGCAATTCTAAATGTAAAAAAAATAATTGTTGCAAATGGTTTCTAATTAAGTCATAGTGGTGGATCAGAAAATATGAATCAAATATTTGAGACATCTTTTGTGATGGAAATTAATAAAGTTGAGAATGATTCTTGATACAATGATACAAAATCAATCATCTCATTTTTTTTTAATTCTAAAATTCCATGTTTTGATAACTTACATTACATTGCAACAGCTGCTCTTCATGGACATAGAAATAATGAGTACTTTTGATTTATTCAAGAATTCATTATTGAAATGTGTTTTGAATGACATTTGAATGTAAATTTTCAGCATTTAGTCATAAAAACTTGTGAGCAATTCAAAACTAATGTAATCAATTCCGTCTTTGATGGATGTGGACAAAGATACTTTTATTGATAAGATCAACTAGCTTATAGTTGATAAAAATAAACGTCAGATTGGAGATGCATTCTTTTGTTTCCATAGCTCCCACGTGTCTTCATCAAATTCTTAATTGTGTGGAACGGATGGAAGAAGACGAGTAGGTCCAAGGGCACACCATACGCAAGTTCGTCTCCTCTGGGAATCTCTGAAATATTTCCTCCTGCAGATGAAGGTTAAATGTGGAAGATGGTGGAAGAGGGTTAAAATTATAGGTAAGTTTCAGGACGGAGTCACCGCAACCGTTAGGTGCATTTGGACGCCGGGTAGACGTGGACATAGATGACGCGGATGCATATAACATGGTTAAAGAGGGCAAGAAGAGCATTTTCTGGAATTGTCGTGACACTCTTTTCGAGGTTTTTAGAATGCAGGTATAGGATGAAAATGGATCCCGATTTGAGGCTGCCTTTGCAAATATTAGTCAAATTTTATCTGAGATTCTACGAGATTTTCAGCTTTCAAGAAGAAGCTACTGGATTCTGAGTGGAGATATCTAAATGATAATCTGAGGCAAAACACATCCATTACACATCTAGATTTTAGTTACCTTAGATTCTAGAATGAGATCAGGTTCAAGGACTTCATGGCATCGCTTCAATTCGACTTAGACTATTGGAACTGTAAAGTTGGTAGGAAAGCCTGCTCTGATCAAAGCTGCAATGGAAAGCACAAGAAACGAACAGCCAAGGCTAGTCGAGCTTTCTTCTGTAGCTCTCCTTGTGAATCATGAACGACAAAGTAACACTTCTATTGAATCAATTTTCCTTACCTAAACCTCAAGCTCCTTTTTTCTTGTGGAAAATGAAAAAGTCGATTCTAATATATTCGATTATTAAATCATGATTACGTTTTGGGGATAGATTTGTATCTTGCCCATCGCTTTTCGAGCCAAGAGACTTTTGCATATGCTCAAGTAAGAAGCAGAAAATATTCGCTCATGTGGAGTGCAAAATAAGCAGAAAAAACAACTTTCACATGGCAATACCATCCACACGATTATTTATGGAGTTATCGAACAATCCTGGCTATCGATAGTTTTAGACATTGTTATAGTTCTGGTTAAGAAACTGATCTTTCTTGGAGCTCCTAAAGCTGCCCTTCTTCTCCCGGGAATTCCAATGCCTCTTCGTTTCCTGAGCCTTCCTGCACCTCCTCTCCTCCTGCTTTAGCTTTCGGCGCAGCCTCTCCTCTCGGAGCTTCCAGCACCTCCTCCTGCGGCTCTCTATGCGGCTGTGTTATCCACTCATGCTCTGCACTTACTCCGGGAGTTGGAATTATTGCACACCATGGTTCCTGGAGGGTTTGCGGCAGAAGTCTCCAGAAACCAAAGTCATGGATTTCGCGAAAAGGAGGGTCGGGAAGAAAAAACAGCGAGCAGAATCGAGCCGAGTATTTCGCCACTACGAGTTCATTATAATCTTGATCGAAGACGAAGAAGGCATCACTGCCTCCTCCGGCATAAAGGTGGAAAGCTTTGCCTTCTTCCCCTTCCCAGAGCTCTCGAGTTCTTTCGATCAGAGCTCCATCCATTGCCCGGACCATTGGATGCCGGAGAAATGCATCTTCATAGCTCCTGCTATCGAACATCCCGTCGAAGGAAGGAGGCCAAACCATGGCGAGTAAGCACACATGTTCTTCATACGCAGCAATCTGAATGGAGCCTGGCCTGTCCTCCTCGACTTTCTCTAAAATGGCAGTCCACTTCTCCTCTCGCAGATCAAATATCAAGAGAGCCTTCGTCAGATATGTAGAATCCCATTTGAGCCAATACAAACATCCACCACATGATACACATTTCCCTCCTTGCCACCCCAGTTCCACGTTAACAGGAAACGGATGAGCAAGCCAGGACCATGTGCCAGTCGTCGAGTCGTAAATCAAAGATCTGCGATCATCTAGGAGTAGAACTCCTCCCAATAGCAGCTTGAAGTGCTTTGCAGATCGGTCCACGACTAAGCCCACCACCATACATTTGACCATGCCATCAATGACCGCAGGTATTGCATCAATTTCATGAGGTACGTTCAAAATCAGGAATTTATCCGGAACTGGGTTATACAGAACATACTCTGTTGACAAACGTTTATTAAAACACAGGAGGCCTCCATCAGCAGCGATTAGCCTATTGGATTCAAAAGTGATATTCCTGGTGATCCATTGATCACTGCAGCAAAAGAAGGCCGTGCCGTCAGTAAGAGGATCACAATAGACAATAACTTCTTTATTCCAGATTTTGTTCTGTAAATCAGGACCATCAACGATTGCCATCCACTTTTTACAGACTGAACGACAGGCTGCAAGTGTGGAAACTGACAGACCATGATCTCTGAGAACTTTGATCAGAAATTCGATAGGTAAAGTTTCCCATGGATCTCCAGATCGACTGTCTTCCGTTTCGAGTACCATTGCAACAACAATCTTAAAGGATGATGTAGATGAGGGTCATCTCTGCAACAGCTCAGAAGGCATTAGCATTCAGTCACTTACGAGTTCATCTGGACGAAAACTCTCACGCAGGTTCACTCAGAAAGGCTCAAATGAGAAAAACTGTCTGCTGTAACTCCTGCGTTGACACTTGTGAATCACCTTTCAAGCTTGAGAACGCCGGCTGCAGCACTCTGGACGATAGAAGAATGGAACCACTAACGACCGGTCGATGGTCATGAAAGGGCTCAGACAACGAGAGAGAAATTACCGTCATGTTACGAATTCTGATCTCCCTGACCTCCCTGACCGTAACATCGACCAGTGTGGGAGTGGGGACGTTTGATGAAGCTGTGGCTTATCGATCGGTCATCTCACCGTGTCAATTTGGATTCGGTGTCCGTTAATCTTTGAATTCAAATCTTCGGCATAGTTTGAAATAAAAGCATATTGCTTGGAACTCGAACCATTCAACTTGGTGGTTAGTACACGATAAGTTGATTTATCCACTCTTGTATCGGTTTATCTACGTACCCAAGGAACTTGGTATATTTGTGATTTTTTAATACTTGAACTTAATGCGCTGCCCCGGGCATACTAGCAGTGATACCAGGGGTGGATAAAACCATTAAATCCTGCTGAAATCCATCTGGTTGATGGTTTAATGTACTAAAACTAGATTTCGGGATGATTTAATCATTGACGTGACATGTAATAATTTCATCGAGCATTGCCTCTCTGTATTTTCCGGCGAATTCTGTATTTTCGGGTAAATTTGTTACATCATGAAATCCGACCACCTCATTAAGTGTCATTAAATCACATTTATGCGATTTGAAAATAATAGGATGAAACACTTAAACCACACCAAATTTCACCACTCGTGCAAGCCCGGAGTGAAACTGGTCTCATGGTATACATTGGAGATAGGCACCATATTAAGTATGGTGTATAATAGCAAACGACATCTTATGTTAGCACTAGAAATTGTATCATGTTATGGACATGGACTAAAAGGGTAATTTGGTGTGCAAGATTTGCCAGGCGTAAAATACCATTGTATTCGAGTAAAGTTAACTTTCTTTAGATTAAATTGTATTACATCTGTATGTTTCATGTGTGATGTGGAAAAACATCTTGTTGTTAAGAGATAAGTATACGCAAGATAGCTATCATAATAAATGTACCAAGGTCCTTGGTTACGGAGATAAACCGATACAAGAGTGGATTTATCAACTACAACTTATCGTGTTCTAAGCACCAATTAGAATGGAATAGCTGGTAGAGCCGGTAGCGCAGTTAGAAAGTATAGGGACAACGGTTATCATTCAAATTAAGGCTCATGAGTAGTAGTTTTTGAAATAAAACCTTGCAGAATGCTGCTGTCGAACCGAATAGCTACTTCAAATATGTTAAAACGGGAATAATATATCTCATTCAAAATACAATTCTCATTATCATTGAAGATGAAAAAAAAATCACTCCAGTTCCTTCCGTACTCCCTTCCAAAGATCTTTGCTTTGAACTCTCAATGCCAGTCTCTTCAGTGTAATAACCCACTAAAGGCTAAAACTGCAATATAGTGGTAGAAAGGTCGAACCCACAGGGACAGAGGAACACACAGGGTACAAAGTGTCACGTTTAACAGACTATTGATGAGTTTGAATTCTCAGGCGACTGTCACTCCCAGAAATACTGCAAGTGTCCACTCGGAGGTCGCACAGTGCAGCGTAACACACACACACACACACACACCTGAAACTACAGAAACACAACCCAGAGATCCGTTAGGACCTCTACTCAAGATTTCAAGGGGAAGGTCTCTCAAGAGTACACTCAACGAAGCTCCTGGTAGTGACTCCCAACTCCGGCTTTTACAACACTTCCACTAGCTTGCTGCTAGCGTAGGAAACCCGGTTTGGACTGCCTACTTCGGATCGAAGTCACTCATACGCGGTGAACAACACTCTCAACTCACAAAACGCACAGAGAACACAGGTCCGCACCGAAGGACTCACTGAGAAACATCCCGGTAACACACCATAACAGTCTATTGAAGAGTTTGAATTCTTAGGCACTTGTCATTCCCAGAAATACTACAGGGGTTGCCCTGAAGGCACCTGCTGCAGCGTAACCTGAATTTACAACCAAGGCTTACACGAAGTAGCAAAACTTCACTTTGGCATTCAGGGGAAAAATCCCGAAGGAGTACAATCAGGAACAAACACTCGAAGGTGTAGGGGCGAAACTATTCAAGTATCTAACTCGTCACTGGCTCTTAGCATCGGCAATCACCCGCAGGTGTAGATCCAAACTACTCAAGTCTCTAACCAATGTACTAGCTCTTAACATTCGGCCGGAGGCCTTCAGCTACACAATGCGGATCGCTAAGGTGTAGCTCCTCGTGCGTGGTGACAGAACTAAGGACACAAACACGCAGAGAAAATGAGTTCCTGATCTGCACTTCTGATGTTGGGAAAGATCCCAAGGCAAGACGCCTTGAACTACTTTATACTTTCTAAGCCCTAACTAGAACTACACTGTACTACGCTACATGCCCGCACGGAACCACGCTACACTACACTTCGCCTCCTGCGCGACCGATTGCCGCGCTCTAACTCCCTACCCTGCCAGTCCTCCGCTCGACTGCGTAGTCCCAAACGCCGTAACACCGCGGAAACCTCCGTCTCAAGGGTGGACATGGTATCCCGCGCCTTCGACAGAAAAGATTCTAACTTCTTCGCTACCCGCCGCCGGCTCCGACTGTCACCTGTCAACAACCCGGCTGCACGAAGCTCTAACTCACGCAGTGTGAGTTTCTCCTGCGCCGCCACTTCCCAGTGGGCGTAGCCCTTGAGACAGTGGGCGACTCGCCTCGCCATCTTCTCCTTCGTGCGATCTGCCTCTCGCCTGCGATCATCTTCAATCACCACCAACTGTGATTCGGCCTCCGCACGCTGAGCTCTCAATTCTCCGCACTCCGACTGCAGCCTGTGGATCAAATCCTCATCCGCCTGTCGCGCGAGCTGACACTCCGCCAACAACCGCGTCTGTCGCACGAGCTCCTCTGACAGAACCTGATTCTGAGTCTTTTCAAAAATCAGTTCTTCTGTGGTCCTCACCACATCTTTGGTGAGCTCCTCCAGTCTCTCCTTCTTCAACTCGTTGTAGGTGTGCGACTTCCGCACGAGATTGTACTGTCCCCACAAGCAGTCATACTGCTCTTGCAACTCCTTAAGTTCCCGGTCCACCCGAGCTAGCAGCTTGCTAGTGTGGACTTTAGTGCGAGTTCGCCTGCGCACTAACTCGACATAGGACCAAGGCTGGCGAGGATCCGCGTATTTCTCAATTTTGCGGTCCAAGTACCTCAACAGAGGTACAACCTGCTCACAGAGCGCCGCCGTCGGCGCTCCAACGATTTCTTCCTCCTCCTCTTGGGTGTCTCCCGATCCCGACATTGCTTCCGTGGATCCTCTTTCGTCATCATCAGAAGGAAGGATCTCGGTCGCCATTGATTGCGTTGGCGACTGGCCCGAGTGGGGCAGCGAGTGGTCTGCGGGTGCTGCCGCTGATGGCACTCCTGCAGCTTCGCTGCTCCCCGCTAAAATGTCCAAGGCAGTGGGTGAATGTGGCCGTGCCACATCCCCATCATCCGCCTGTCGAGCATCGATCGTCGCTCCTTCGCCGCCGACGTCCGCCGCCGAAGGCGATCGAGCGGAATGCGTCTGCGCGGGGTGTAATTGTGCATCGCGCACTCGAATTTCGTCCCGCGAACGTACAATCTGCTCCTCCGTTAGGTCCTGCTTGAGGGCTGCGTCTGGCCTGCGCGTAGGCGCAATTCCCGGCGCCTTGTCCGCCGCAGGCGCAGCGCCGAAGGCGTCTATAGCCGAAGGCGATAGAGCCGAAGGCCGCCCGCCCGATGTATCTTGGCCCGAAGGCCCTACCGCCGAAGGCGCATCTTCCGGCGGATTCCCCGCCGAAGGTGCGACCTCCGCACGCTCCCTGCTGATGACTCGATGGCCCGAAGGCCTTGCGCCGAAGGCGCAAATCACGGCGCGTTATACGCCGGAGGGTCTTGCCCCGAAGGCCCTTGACCCGAAGGCGGATCTTACGCCGGCTCCTTCCCCTTCCTACGTTGTACCAGGGGTGAATCCTGCCTACTCGTAGGCGGCCGCCTGTGCGTAGGCAGAGGTCCACGTCTGCAAGAGGTCGCCTATCCGCTGGGAGTCGTGTGGTACCCCACTTTTGGCAATTTTGAGGAAATTAAAACATTTTTGGAAAACTGTACCTTGGCAGCATTGTAAATAGCCTTCGGTACATCAAAACAGAGTGAATCCGGAAGATCGCGGGGATTCTCGAGGGATCTTGTAGAATCTGGGATTTGGGGTGCAGCAGTAAGGACAGGCACCACCCTCCCTGCGAGCTCTGCAGTTAGGATCTCTATGGCGCAAGGCGCAAAACCCGCCTTTGGAGGTTGCGTCCGCGGCTGTAGGGAAACCCCCGTAATTAGGTCAACCCTCGGGCGCCTTGACCAAGTTAGGGTCCCGTTGGAAAGAGCTCGACGCACTGATTCCAACGAGCCCAAGAACGCTTGGAACGGACGAGGACTTAGGGAGTTATCGCTACTGGAAGAAACGGAGGCGGTCGCCTACGGCGGAAGGAGTTCGCCACCGGCGCGAATTCCGCCTACGCGGAAGGAGGAATCAAGTTTTGTCCTATGCGCGGGCGAAGGCGTTCGCCTGTGCACAGGCGAAGTAGGGTTAGGGAAGGCGCGAAGTCCGCCTACGCACAGGCGTTCGCCTGTGCACAGGCACTTCGGCGTCGGCGGGAAATCCGCCTTGGGCCCTAGAAATGCGCCTTGTGAGGTAGAAAATGTACGGCGCCTTCCGCGCCAGCGCGGCGCCGCGTACGTCGGAAGAGCCGCCAGAGTAATCCAATCGGTACGGACCATGCGGACGGCACGGGTGGATGCGCTCTTGGACGGACGGAGTTGCGGCGGCGGAAGCGCCGACGGAGAGACAAGGAACGGACAGACTGGACGGAGACGGCTGACCACGGTCAACGCCTTCCGCGCCAGCGCAGCGCCGCGGACGGAATTCGCCTGCGCACAGGCGAACGTCTGTGCACAGGAGGATGTTCAAGTTCCGCGCCGGCGGAGAATCCGCCGAGGCTCCTGCCTGCGCACAGGCAGGAGTTGAATTTTTGTCCGACATGCGGACACACGCGTCAAGGCAGAGGGAGATTGGCCGAGGGGCGG